ATTCCTTCGACTCATTTTGAAGTTTTGGGGGAAGCCGGAAGTGACGTCAATGCGGGAACGCTTCACTGTGCGGCGAGAGAGCCAAACACGGACAAAGTGTGTTGTCATGCGTAGAAATGGTGAATTACTGAGTTTAGGCACGTTAATAACGTTTTAATGAAGTTGACTACAGTATATTCATATTTTTCAGTGCTTTCATGTCAATTCGGCGAACACAAACATAAATGATCGTGGTGAAGATGATGATTACATTAGGATTAAAAATCGGTAGTGAGAGCTACTGAATTTCCTCCCGTATGTGATATAAAAACAAATCGATTATTTTTGTAGTTGTAAACTCAAGTGGATGAAACTACATTTATTAGTGCTTTCATGTCAATTCGGCGAACATATGATACATTAAATGATCGTGAGGATGATGATTAAAAATCGTTTGTTTGAGCCGGTCTGCATTTCCTGATGAGAAAACAAACCGATGCTTTTTGTAGTTGTAGTACACCAACATGGATTAAACGTGTGTTTTTTTTACCACAATGTTGGGGAAATTAATGGATAAAATGCACGGATTATTATTATTATTATTCCCACTCCGATCGGGACACTTGGTCCACCGTTTCCCCGCAGCGAGGCTCCCCCCGTTGACAGTTTACGTGGGCTGGGTGCAGTGGCGGACTGGCCATCGGGACGAATCCCGATGGGCCAGTACCGAAGTGGGCCGGTCGGATAAGTCACTAGCACATAGGCGAATATATATATATATTAGTGCTGTCAAAATTATCGCGTTAACGGCGGTAATACATTTTTGGAATTAATTGCGTTAAAATATTTAACGCATGTGCAGAATGGCCCGCCCCATACGTGCCACCAGTGGCAGCGCCAGGGTATGGCTGGGGTAGGCTACACCCATACCAAGAAATGGCTTAGCCCCACCATGAAAAATGATGTTAAAGTAAGCTAAATAAAGTCTGCCAACTTGCGCGGAGTAAATTGCACAGACAGCAGTTAGTAAGATTGATTTCAGTAGCCACGGTTTTGAAAACTTTTGTCACGTAGTGATCGTCTTCTCAATAGAACATCTTTGATAATGGCGTGGTGTTGTGTCAGGAAGTCCCGACGGAAAATACTTTTGCTGAAGTACACAAGCCCCCAGGAAGTGCGCCGGACTCAGATGAAAATATTCGTGCTGGCCAAACGGCGGTACTACACTTCCGTTTGGTTGCCAGGCCCGGAAACACTTTTTCCCATTGACTTACATGGGGAAAGAGTGGTCTGTAACTCGTTGGATAATTTTTTTAAAACTAAATAAACTACCCAGTTGTATAGCCCTTATTAAAAACATTCGTTCCTCAAGTTGTAAAAATTAGCTAATAACGTTATTCTGACAGTTATTTCCCTCTTCATTATGAACGCGCATCTAACCCACGGGACCGTGCCGCCCGGCACGTTCATGTTACGTGTCCCGACCAATCAGAGCACACTGTGCTCCCAGGGAGGGTGGGGGGGCTGTAGCTATTGGAGCTACAACGAGCCGTTAAAGGCAGAGAGTGAAATTCAGTGAATACACGTAGTTTACAGAGATGCTGTATGAGAAACCAATGTGAGTTGCGTTTATCTTTACCCATGGATGCACAATAAGAACGGATCCATATTGTCTTACTGCCATCCCACAGAGCTGTAATTATGGATATATTGCACATGTTTGCTGTAATTCATTATCATACTACATGGGCTGTATGATTAAATCTTGTACCGTAAATGTTGTATTAAATAAAGTTAATATTACCGACATTATTAACGTCCCTGTAGCTTCGTATTGCACTAAGAAGCTTATTGCACTGTATATAAATATATATATATACAGTGCAATAATAATTTCATGCTAAATGAAGCTCTGTTGGATATCACTAGATCCTGTTACAGCGTAATATAAGTACATAACGATTGATGTGTACATTAGCATCATTACTAGCTAGCCGCTAGCTGCTAACTGCCGCCTCGTTCATATCAAATCCATGTTAACAACAACCATTACCATGCTGTCATGAACGCACGGTGCTGTTACGTGTACGCAAATTGACGTGCTTGATGTGAACGAGCATTTTGGTTAAAGTTGCGCATGCTCTATGAGTGCACATACGGGTACTTCTCAGGCATGCTGGGTAATCTGTGACGTTTCACTCTCTCAAAAGTTGGGCCATTTTATCATCATGCGCTAATGAGCAGCTCTCATAGGAATGAATGAGGCCCCGCCTCCCACGCTGTATCCAGTTCTTATTATACATCCATGGTAGTACAGGGGTGCACATAACTGGTACGCAGGTTATGTGCGTAATCCGAAATGCGTACCGTCACTTGTGTACCGACGTACTTGTGAAGCTTTTCCAGAAGGCGGTTAGATCACCGGACGACAGTCGGTCTCCGTGTGCACAGACAGGGCTGCTGTTAACGTCGGTCTGTACAACGGAATTGTGCCAAAACTACGCCAACCGGCTGCGGAGGGAGACTCCCCCCCCCCCCCCTTCACTGGAGAACTGCGCTAAAACAGCTGATCACAACGTTCACACTCTGTGGTCAAGAAGTACTCTACGAGCCGCCCCCTCTGTCGACTTTCCTGAAGTACTCCCCCGTTGATATAAATCAACACGTAATGAATTAAGACCCCACGGTTTGATGATTGATAGGTGTGTGGGTTGTCTTTCATTTTGACACGCAGAAAAATGTTATAATAAACATAGATAGGCCTACTGTATGTTAAATGGATATATCCGCCTTCTTTCATTTATCTTTCCATTCCCACAACAATATACATAAATAAATGGCATATTTTGGACATAGTTCGAATGGTGATTAATCATGATTAATACATTTTTAAGCTGTGATTAATCTGATTACAAATGTTATTCGTTTGACAGCCCTAATATATATATATATATATATATATATATATATAACTGGTGTGCATGCGCACCCCCCCCGCCAAAAAAGAGCACCGGATCATTTGAAAAAAAGCGCATTTGCGCACCAACATTAAGAGAGTGAGAGAGAGACAGATTTGCGAGTTGCATATTAACTGGTAAGATAGCAAGGTTCCCCACACATAGACTTTACAAAGTATAATTCGCGAGCCATTTAGGTTTAATTTATTATATCCGTCCGCAGTGTTGTGCTAGTTACTGAAAACCAGTAACTACACAGCAAAATCAAAAGTGTTATATTTTCAGTGTTGGAGTTGGAAATTTTAATATAGAGTTGTTTCAACTCATTTTAAGTGTCATTCAACTCCAAGATAGTTATTATTCAAAACGAGTTGGTGTTGAAACAGGGAGTCAAATGTTGAATTCTCCAAACAACTCTAGAGTGTTGATTTAATTACATAGCCAGTGTTACAATCTCTCTTTCTGTGGATCACTGGCTGTTGCTCTGTTGGGTGTGGCCGTGACTGTGAATGTGTGTGCGCGCAGTCGAGGCGGGAGACCAAATCGGAGGAGCATACCACCACATTCTATTTGGAGGATAAACTGACCAAAGTGTAAGTAAATGTTTCGAACCAGTAGCCTAGTACAGGTATTTATTTATTTAGCTGAACAGCGCTTACCTTCAGCTACATAAATACTAATTATTTTACATTGACTGCTGTCTTCGCTCCACATGCTAGTAATATGTGCTGCTATCATTAGCCAGGGGTGTTTAGCCTAACATCTTTTTAATATCATTACAAAGTCTGTTATTGGGGCGTTTAGCTCCATACCTTAGGGATATACGCGTCCCCCGTAGCGACATTAACTACCAGTCGCGGTAAGCCAAATGTACAGAATGGATAAAATGTATCCCAAAATAGTGCCTCATAATGCAGGGAGGGAGAGCAGCAGCGGGCTGTGACACAGAGGTACACAACCATGTGTACACTGGGTCATTCAGAATGTGCTATTTATGAATAAATAGACAAAGTTAAAGTTAACTTTTGGAAGAACCAGAGAAAGGGGTTAAAATGTATCCCAAAATAGTGCCTCATAATGCAGGGAGACTCCCCTGAGAACTCCCCTTGCATTCCTCCACAGGCTAAATAAGTATAAGTGAACTTTTGGAAGAACCAGAGAAAGGGGTTAAAATGGATAAAATGTAACCCAAAATAGTGCCTCATAATAAGATTTGACATGGGCAAACAGGCTATTTCACAGGACACAGGCTATGTCAGACTTCCATGACATACACCGGGAAAACCACCTCTATGTGGCCGCTCACAGAGCCCCAAAACACGGACTACAGACCTCCAGCATATCTCCCTGACATGCGTACTTCCATAACCTCGCGCACCTTGGGACCCCGGGCCCCCGAACTTAAGCACTCCCCCACGGACTAAACCCAGATGATTACACCCTCAAGAAACTCGTGCCCCTGGTAACCTATAAGGGGGTGTATTTTGCGGTGCTTTACCGTCCGCACATCGGCATCCATAGTCGGCCTTATTCACAGCAGCACCCACCCTCCTATGGAGGATGTTCTCATGGCCCTGGTAACCTATAAGGGGGTGTATTTTGCGGTGCTTTACAGTCCGCCCATCGGACTCCATAGTCGGCCTTATTCACAGCAGCACCCACCCTCCTGTGGAGGATGTTCTCATGGCCCTGGTTACCTATCAGGGGGTGTATTTTGCGGTGCTTTACAGTCCACCCATCGGACTCCATAGTCGGCCTTATTCACAGCAGCACCACCCACCCTCCTGTGGAGGATGTTCTCATGGCCCTGGTTACCTATCAGGGGGTGTATTTTGCGGTGCTTTACAGTCCGCCCATCGGACTCCATAGTCGGCCTTATTCACAGCAGCACCACCCACCCTCCTGTGGAGGATGTTCTCATGGCCCTGGTTACCTATCAGGGGGTGTATTTTGCGGTGCTTTACAGTCCGCCCATCGGACTCCATAGTCGGCTTTATTCACAGCAGCACCACCTGCCCTGCTGGAGGTTCACACTTTAACTTGTTTTACCCTCCTCTGCCTTACACATCCTCCCACATTTGAGCACTCCTCACGCGGACTAAACCCCTTCATGCACACCACCAGAACCTCGTGCCCCTGGGGATCTTAAAGGGGAAACACCCATATTGGGTTATAAAAAAGAGGACAAATTAAGTAATTTTAACAAACTTTATTGACAGAAATATATACATTGACACTTTATAACATTATAACATTATTAACTCATCCAGCACAAGCGGACTGAGAACAACAAAACATTGCATATTTACAAGTTGGTCACTGGCAACATTGTCCGTATCGGGTGAAGTTGGTGCAGAGGCTGGCACCCTCTCTTCACCCGTGTCTGAGGGACTGTTTTCGGCCATTGACTGTTCCCTCTTCGCCGCTCTCCAAGCGTTGAAGTCTTTGTATAATTCTTCATCTGACGTCTCGGTATCGGTGGAGTCTTGGTAGGGAGTAGGGCTATGCTCCTCTCCAGAGCTGTCACGGTCACTGTGGATGTCAATGTCCCCCAAATTGTCTTCACTCACCCCTGATGCTGCTGCGGCCGCTGCTTGCAGTGACTCTGTGAAGAGCATTCGTATGTCCGCAGCCTCTTTCAAAGAAGGATTCTTGGCATAAAATGTGTCTGCAGTTGCAGTGTTGTGACACATGAAATCACTCACTCTTTGGTGGTTGCTTATGTCCTGAAACCTCTTCGCATTATCGGCGTGGACTGTGCGGAGGTCGGTGAAGTTAATGGGACCTTTTAGTCCAACATCAGCCCATGCCAACCTCAGGAAGGTGGCAAGGTTCCTCGATGGGTTCTTCCCCGCTATGCAGAGGAAGTAGCGGTTGTTGGTGCCGGTCAGCGTCCCCTTGATTTCCAGCCACCTCTTCATCCATCCAAATTCTTCTATGGTGAGGTACATCTGCGCTTCCCCGAACGCGTTGGCCGTCTTGTGGTTGCTTACCTGTTATGACAGAGTTAGAGAGCGTCAATACAAGTATCAATCATCCACAACATGTGTATCACTGCCAGAATAAACACATGTTTTAATAGCTCACTCACGTGGATGAGGTGGCCAAAGGCAGTGCCAGTTATCTCCGCCTTTAGGACCTCCGTGTTGGTCATGTTGGAGTAGACCCCCGGACGGTGCCCATAAATGCAGCTCCAATTGAGGGTCATGTACCCATAGAGCAGGCTCCGGGTTGCGTGAGTCGGATTGCTGGTCATCACGTCCAGAAGCTGAGGGATGCGAGTTTTGGCCGCAGTCAAACATGCCATGATGTCTTTATGGCTTGGCAGACCTTCCATCTTGTCCCGCTTCACCTGCATCTGGTGGATAAACACCTTCTTTCTCATGGACTTCAGGATGGCAGCAACTTCCCGTGTGATTAAAATCATGTCATTCTGGTTGAGCCTGCTCCCCTTGCATGGTGTTTCATTCATGTACTTGAGAAAGTGTGATATATTTTTGATATATAAGTCAGATGTCGTGACCTGTAGGCTTGACTTTATCAGGCTCCGGGACCACCCACGTATCCTCTTCAGATCCCTCAAAAAGAGCCAGTCAGACAGGCGATTGAAACCGTGTGCCATGAAGCTTAGGAATGATTTGACTCTGCTTATTTTGGAGACTGCGTTTTCTTGGAGCCTCACTGTTGGATCGATGCCCTCATAATGGTCCCGGTAGCCTTGCAGATACTTCTCCATGATGCGTGGGAATGTAATGTCCCGCATTCGATTCCCCCGGCCCCTGCCGCTGAACCAGGGGGAATGTATGGGAGGGGAGGATGACGAGGCCTCGGTATCTATGGATGCAGGTTCTGAGGAGCTGGATACAGGTGTGTGAGAGGCAATGGGGGACTTCCTGCAGGAGGGACCTTTGGACTTGGACAGCCTCTTTGGTGTTGACTCTGTTCGGGATCGTTTCCTTAGAAACACCCGCTCTTGGTCCTCGGCCCTCTGGTTCATCCTCTTTCGGTTACGTTTAATCCTCTGCTGCAGCATGCAGCGCAGGGATTTCACCTCAGCAGCATATATGTCCCTCTGAGCCTTCATTCTGTTTGCATCCATCCTCCATTCCTTACAGTCCGGGTTGTCACATTTAATCACTGGGGACAAGGGTGGAGGTTGTGACAGGACATCATCACCCACAGTGTCCACATCCCAAGAGGTAATCATTGCTACTGTGGGGTTTGTCAAACTGAGTTCATGAAGCTTCTTCGTGGCCACTTTCATTTTTAGTTTAGTTAAAACCACATGTAATTCCTGCCGGGACAGCTCAACATGGTTTCTGTACAAGTGGCGGTCCAGCCTTGTCCCGATGTACTCGCATCCTGCAATAATGCAGGGATGGAGCCTAATGTTTATCCGTCCTTTCGCCAACAACAGCAGAATTCTTCTTTCAACTAAATTACGCACACTATGGTTCCTCAGCAGGTGCTTGCTCAGGGCACGGTAGGGACTATTACAGATAGGACAACCGATCGCCATCATTGTTGTATGCCTGAGCATTTCGGTACCGGGAAGTGTCACCAGTATAATGTATAGAACCGGGGGGGACAAAGAAGGATAGGTGAAAATAAGAAAGTTGCACTCAGCGAACTAGAAAGACCCCATGTCAAATCTCTCCGGTTTATTTTCAATAAATAACCCATTTGCATCATCGTGCGAAAGGTGTCCCATTTAGGCACTCGTTAGGCGGGCAGAGATCCCTGTCATCTATCGGTCCTATCATCCAGGCAAGGCGGGAGCCAAAACTGGGTGAAATAGTGCCTCCTAAGGCGAGTCGAGTCCCCTGGCAACTCCCCTTACTTTCTTCCGGAGACCAGTTCAAAACGTTAAGTTTGGTAAAACCATGATTGGGGGTCATCCAGGCAACAATTGTATCCGATCCAAAGTCCTCATGCAGCGGATGCATTCTTCCATGATCCAGAGACGGATGCAACCAGAGAACCAGAGAAAGGGGTGAAAATGGATCAAATGTATCCGGGAATAGTGCCTCCTAAGGCGGGTCGAGTCCCCTGACAACTCACCCTACATTCCTCCAGAGTCAGAAAAAGTTAAAGTTAACTTTTGGAAGAACCAGAGAAAGGGGTGAAAATGGTGAAAATGTGTCCGGAAATAGTGCCTCATAATGCAGGTAGAGTCCCCTGGCAACTCCCCTTGCATTCCTGTCAGAAAAAGTTAAAGTTAACTTTTGGAAGAACCAGAGAAAGGGGTTAAAATGGATAAAATGTATCCGGGAATAGTGCCTCCTAAGGCGGGTCGAGTCCCCTGACAACTCACCCTACATTCCTCCAGAGTCAGAAAAAGTTAAAGTTAACTTTTGGAAGAACCAGAGAAAGGGGTGAAAATGGTGAAAATGTGTCCGGAAATAGTGCCTCATAATGCAGGTAGAGTCCCCTGGCAACTCCCGTTGCATTCCTCCAGAGTCAGAAAAAGTTAAAGTTAACTTTTGGAAGAACCAGAGAAAGGGGTTAAAATGGATAAAATGTATCCGGGAATAGTGCCTCCTAAGGCGGGTCGAGTCCCCTGACAACTCACCCTACATTCCTCCAGAGTCAGAAAAAGTTAAAGTTCACTTTTGGAAGAACCAGAGAAAGGGGTTAAAATGGATAAAATGTGTCCGAAAATAGTGTCTCGTTATTCCGTGGAAACTCCCCTTGCATTCCTCCAGAGGCCAGTTCAAAAACTTAAAGTTTTGTAAGAACCGTGATTGGGGGTCCTCCGGGCAACAATTGTATCCGATCCAAAGTGCTCACTCATCGGACGCATTCCTCCATGATTTCCCCATCATGAGAAATAGGCCGTTTTTTTCTAAGTGCTCTCAAAAACCGGGTTTCCGATTTCGTGCAGAAGGTAGCTTGGAAAAGATGAATGAAAATTGTTAACGGAGGAGGGGAGGTCTGAATTCCCCTCTACGTTGAAAAGTGCAACGGGTCAGTGGAAATGTCTCCGGGGCTTCCGCCCGAAGCGCCGAAGGGTTGACCCCCTCACCCGTTGGCACTTAGCCGTTTTTCGAGAATTTTAAAAAACGTAGTTTTTGATGAATTTAAGATATAATTGACCGTTTTATTTACTTTTTTTTGCTTTCCACGGGTGCACGGCAGGCCGCATATGAGCTCCCAAATTCGGCCCGGAACCTCCGGGAATTGGGTCCATTTCATCCACATGTGACTCCCCCATCAAATGTACATGAAATGGACACGAGGAAATGTACATGAAATGGACACGAGGAAATGTACATGAAATGGACACCAGGAAATATACATGAAATGGACACCAGGAGAGAAGAACCAGGGGTCAACATGGATACAGTTTACCCCGAAATAGTGTCTCTTAAGGCGGGTACCAGTCATGGCAACATGTCCAGACCCTGACTGGACTTAAGCCGATTTTCATTGGAACTCCACATTGCATTCTTCCAGGGACACCAACATACATCCAGGGTATAAGGATGAAGAACCAGGGGTCAACATGGATACAGTTTACCCCGAAATAGTGTCTCTTAAGGCGGGTACCAGTCATGGCAACATGTCCAGACCCTGACTGGACTTAAGCCGATTTGCATTGGAACTCCACATTGCATTCTTCCAGGCCCATCTACATGCATCCAGGGTACAAGGAACAAGAACCAGGGGGCAACATGGATACAGTTTACCCCGAATAGTGTCTCTTAAGGCGGGTACCAGTCATGGCAACATGTCCAGACCCTGACTGGACTTAAGCCGATTTGCATTGGAACTCCACATTGCATTCTTCCAGGCCCATCTACATGCATCCAGGGTACAAGGAACAAGAACCAGGGGGCAACATGGATACAGTTTACCCCGAAATAGTGTCTCTTAAGGCGGGTACCAGTCATGGCAACATGTCCAGACCCTGACTGGACTTAAGCCGATTTGCATTGGAACTCCACATTGCATTCTTCCAGGCCCATCTACATGCATCCAGGGTACAAGGAACAAGAACCAGGGGGCAACATGGATACAGTTTACCCCGAAATAGTGTCTCTTTAGCCGGGTAACAGTCATGGCAACATGGGGTGATGTATATGGGCACTTGAGCACCAGCAAGACCCCCACCTCCATAACCTTGTGCACCAGGTGAACCTGTGTACCCACACTTAAGCACTCCCCCACGGACTAAACCAAGAGGGAACACCGGTCAGAAGTTCGTGCCCCTGGTAACACTGAATAACAACAAAATAGAACCCCCAAGGGTTGCATGTGTGTAGGCATAGTTGGTAACATTTGTCGTGCCATCGGCGGGGAATTTACATTGGTAGTTGACATCACATTTCCATTGTGCGGACTTCCGTAAATTTGAAGGACAAGTCACATGTTAACTCTGTCTATAAGACAGACATGTTCCTTACATACCTTAGGGATATACGCGTACCCCGTAGGGACATTAACTACCAGTCGCGGTCCGCCAAATGTACAGACATGCAGTTCCGCCCCGGAGCAAAATAAAAATAATCTGGGGTGCTTCATGGATAGCCAGTGCAGGGACCTTCCACGTGGAAAAAGAACCGGAGACCAGAGGGCGTAATGTCCACTGAGTGGACATCATTGGCCGTGGCGTGTACACGTCCATATCACGGACATTAATACATAGAGTGGTGTCCATGAAATAAACATTGCAAATAAGTGTTTAACGGTGATTTAAACTAGTTTCTGCGGGGAAAAGAGTGCTAAAAATGGGTTTTTCAGCACCCAAATTCGGCCCTGATACATCCAGCCCCGGAGAGCTCGCTGGAGAGGGGGAGACAGCCTGACAGGCTGCCCACAGCTGATGGGGGTCGACATGGAGGTTTGGCAGTCCACCTTTCAGCACCCAAATTCGGCCCTGATACATCCAGCCCCGGAGAGCTCGCTGGAGAGGGGGAGACAGCCTGCCCACAGCTGATGGGGGTCGACATGGAGGTTTGGCAGTCCGCCTTTCAGCACCCAAATTCGGCCCTGATACATCCAGCCCCGGAGAGCTCGCTGGAGAGGGGGAGACAGCCTGACAGGCTGCCCACAGCTGATGGGGGTCGACATGGAGGTTTGGCAGTCCGCCTCACAGCACTATGTAACCCTGGAAAGAAATTTGAAACCTGTCCATTTCATCCACATTTGACTACTCATGAAATGTACAACAGAGTCACTGCTGTAAGCAGGGTCCCACACTCACAGGCAGAGATCCAGGGTGATGTACATGGCTTTCTTACCCAGGAATTAGTGTGTGAATGCTGGGTAAAAGTGCTGTGAATACAGGGAGGAGGAGGACCAGCAGGCTGTGACCCAGAGAGCTTGAAACCTGTCCATTTCATCCACATTTGACTGCTTATGAAATGTACAGCAGGGTCACTGCTGTAAGCAGGGTCCCATAGGCACACAGGCATAGATCCAGGGTGATGCACATGGCTTTCTTACCCAGGAATGAGTGTGTGAATGCTGGGTAAAAGTGATGTGAATACAGGGAGGGAGAGCAGCAGCGGGCTGTGACACAGAGGTACACAACGATGTGTACACTGGGTCATTCAGAATGTGCTATTTCTGAATAAATAGAACATTCTGAACATTTGTCAAACAGACATTCCTATTAAAAGTTATCAATTAATAGCAAGATTTGACATGGGCAAACAGGCTATTTAACAGTAACAGGCTATGTCACTAGTTCAACTAAATTACGCACACTATGGTTCCTCTGCAGGTGCTTGCTCAGGGCGCGGTAGGGACTATTACAGATAGGACAACCGATCGCCATCCTCTTTGTATGCATGAGCATTTCGGTACCGGGAAGTGTCACCAGTAGAATGTATAGAACCGGGGGCGACAAAGAAGGATAGGTGAAAAGAAGAAAGTTGAACTCAGCGAACTAGAAAGACCCCATGTCAAATCTCTCCAGTTTATTTTCAAAACATTGTGTTTTCCATTTGCATCATCGTGCGAAAGGTGTCCCATTTAGGCACTCGTTAGGCGGGCAGAGATCCCTGTCATCTCTCGGTCCTATCCTCCAGGCAAGGCGGGAGCCAAAACTGGGTGAAATTGACCAAAAAGTTAAAATAAATACAATAAGTCATCCATGGAAAGATGCATGAAAGTGAAAAAAGTATCCAAAAATAGTTCATCATGATGCGGTTAGAGTCCCCTCACAACTCCCCTTACTTTCCTCCAGAGTCTGAAAATAATATGTTATCTTTTTTGGAGAACCACGAAAACCGGCCAAATGTATCCCAAAATAATGCATCATAATGCGGGTAGAGTCCCCAGACAACTCCCCTTACTTTCCTCCAGAGTCAGGAAATACTCTGTTATATTTTGGGAAAACCAGAGTAAAGAGGTGAAAATGGATAAAATGTATCTGAAAATAGTGCCTCATAATGCAGGTAGAGTCCCCTGACAACTCCCCCTACATTCCTCCAGAGTCAGGAAATACTCTGTTATATTTTGGAAGAACCAGAGAAAGGGTTGAAAATGGATAAAATGTATCCGAAAATAGTGTCTCATTATTCCGTGACAACTCCCCTTGAATTCCTCCAGAGACCAGTTCAAATACTTAAAGTGTTGTAAGAACCATGATTGGGGGTCCTCCAGGCAACAATTGTATCCGATCCAAAGTGCTCATGCAGCGGATGCATTCCTCCATGATCCAGAGACCAGTTCAAAACTTAAAGTTTGGTAAGAACCATGATTGGGGGTCCTCCAGGCAACAATTGTATACGATCCAAAATGCTCATGCAGCGGATGCATTCCTCCATGATCCAGAGACCAGTTCAAAACTTAAAGTTTGGTAAGAACCATGATT